CTACTTGTGAGGAGGGGGCGCTGTTTATACAGGACACCCCGGCAAATTTAGCGTTCCCAGATTTCTGGGTTGGGGCTTGAGCCACTGGTATAATTTATTTGGTACCCAAAAATGTGATCCCAGCCCTTTTTGCTGCTGACCAGTGGCTGGCAGAAGGGTTACATAAAGAAGAATCTGGAGGTACTGCAGTTTGACAGGAAAAGACAGTATGAGACAGGATGAGAAAAGATGCGACAATTCAAGGGAGGAAGAGCAGGCAGAGGACAAGATGAAATGACACCAGTGCTGACCAGAAGACGATGTGAGATGGGATGATAAGAGACTTGGATGCGACTGGATTTGGTAAAGCGAGGTAGCATGGAATGGAAAAGGGAGATAAGAGAGGATGGCATGACAGATTGAGAGAAGAGGTTGAGATGAGACAGGATAAGAGAAAATAGGACAAGATAAGAAGATGGATGAAGAAGATAAATGGTTGGGTTGGACAAGCTCTTACAGGTAGCTTTCAGGCAGAGCAGAGCAAGGCACGTTTGCTCAGGCATCCTGAGCTGACCACATTTACTTTCGCTGCTGGCTTTAGCTAAGGACCCACTGCTCAGTGTCTTCCCCTCTCCTGCAGCTGAGTTAGTTTATAGAGCCATGAGGGTTTGTAAGAAATGCAAAAGAAACAAAAAAAGATCAAAAAACCCAAACCCTGCTATTTAAGCTTTGGTGCTGGCTCCATGTCTCTGGCTTGCTAGGCTGTTCCCATGCTTCACTCCCCAGTTGCCTCTTACTGTTCAGAGGCTTTGAAGAAAGCCCGCATGGGGTCCGTGCAGACAAAATAAACAAAAGAGAAGCCTTGCTTATGGCCCCTTCCAGGGCTATTTGACTTCACCTTACCCCAGGCTCAGGGCAGCTGCATCCTCTGCCCCTTTGCTGGTGCAGCCATCCCCCAGAGGCTGCTTTTAGTGTCTCTTATTTCCCCCCCCCGGTTCCCTAACAAGGATCGTCAGACTCAACAAGGTGAGTCTCTCCAGGCCTGGGGTGGGCATGGGGAATGTTTCCAGGGTGTGGGGCCATTTGGGCTCCTCCACACCCATAGTAACAGGGCTGAGCCTTGTTACACAAGACAAAAGAGGATGTGTAGTTGGATGATGAGATGAGGCTTTGGTGAAGCTTCACCTGGACTCCTCTGTCTGGTTTGGTGTCCCACTTTTCAAGAAATCTGCGGACAGATTGGAAAATCTGCGGACAGATTGGAAAGAGCCTGGCAGAGAGCAATACAAATTATTAGAGGTTTGGGACACATGATTAATGAGGAAAGGCTGAAAGAGTTAGGGCTATTTAGTATGGAGAAAAGAAGACCGAGCAGGAATTTGATGACACTCTTCAAATACCTGAAGGATTACAAACAGGATGGAGCCAGCACTTTCTCTGTGGCTGTAGGGAACAGGTCTAGGAACAATGGCTTCAGACCAGAGCAGAGGAAATTTAGGTTGGGGATTAGGAGGTACTTTTTGACCATGAGGGTGGTCAAGCATTGGAACAGGCTATCTGGAGAAGTTGTGGAATACTCCAGCCCTGGAGATTTTCGAGGGCAGGCTGGACAGACACTTGACTGGGATGGTTTAGATGGAAATGTTCCTGCCTTGAGCAGGGGGCTGGATTAGATGACCTTGTAAGATCCCTTCCAGCCCTGCTTTCCTATGACCATATGTGGGTGAAGAAGGTGACTGATGAGATGAAAGTAGAAGATAGAGCGCACATGGGATGGACAAGGCAAGACAAGTAAAGGGGAGAAGAGATTAAAAAAGATGAAAAGATGGAGAATGAGGTGAGCAAGAATGAGACAAGGGATGATGCCTGAATGAGAAGCACTGGGAGAGGAAGAAAGAGAGGACAGTTGAAAAGACAATTTAGTGCAATGGCCCTTGGACTCCTTAAAGCCCCAGCCTGATTAACACGAGAAGGACCAAAGCAGGGTGTGCTGGAGGAGACCATTCACTTTTCAAGGGGAGGTTGTAGTTCCTGACCTTTACAACTGATGTTTCTCTTGCACTTTTGCCTGGAGTTTTTAATGGCTGCTGTCCTGATATCGGAGGTCAATGCACTCAGTGTGAAGGAATAACTCTGATAATAAGGTACTTACTATTCAGGGCATTGGGTGAAGACATTATCTTCTGTGCTGTTTATAGCACTGACATTTTAAGGGTCTGGACAAATGTACAGACTTAAAATCCTGCCTTCCTCCTAATTTAGAGCACTTCAGTACTATACAAGCGTACAGTCCCTTCCCAACTCAAGGGTTTTGTAATGTGCTGGAGCTCCACAGCCAAGGGGTTGATGAGCAGACGCGGTGTACCTTTGACTTCTGAGAACAATGGAGTGGCAACAGCAAGAGTTTTATGGATATTTAACTCCCAGGCTTCTGCTCTAGGCTTCCTGCTACCCCAGTCCTAGTCCATTGCCCATGCACTCCTCGCTCTCCAGGCTCCCATGGAGCAGCACTGTAACGTGCTGACTCTGCTCTTCTGCTCATGGTGGACTCTAACTACCTAGTCATGCTTTGTTGCTTCTTCCGTCTCTTCTGCTGCCAAGTGGCCTGTGGCACGGTGGCTGAAGGGACTATGATCCTGATGCACCAAAGGTACCTTCTGAAGCTCTGCTTTCTGTCTGGGAGCTATGTGCTGGGGAAGGGAGAACATGGGGAGACCACAGGGGAAGGTCCCCTACCTCTAAACTGTGTTCTACTGCTTCTTGGCCAGAGATGCGAGCAGCTATGTGTCTGAGTGGATGGACTTGGGGTCATGGAGTGACAAGCAGAAGTGGTAGATGTTTAGGCCGGGAAGGGCCACATTTATGGAGTTCTGCACGGAGCCGGCCCTCCTCAGCCTAAAGTTCTGCCACTTTTGCTTGTCACCCTATGACCCCAAGACCATCTGCTGTTGTTTCAGAGGCAGGCCACCAAAATAAGTGTTCCCATGACCATGGAGAAGCAGGTAGATGGCTGAATGGGCTTTTCCAACTGCACTGGAGTTTCAGTGGCACCTATTTTCCATCCTGTACCCGTTGTACCATTGCTTGAAGCACATCAACTGCAAGGGCTACTGCTTCATCATGCTGTAAGGCATTGGGGACCACTGGGGATGGTTCATTCATCAGTGATTGGATGAGGCCCATAATTCCAGGGTCTTCAGGAACCTCAGCCTGGCCTCCCAATGATGCTAGGAACATTTGCTCAGGTGCTGCTTGCATAGAGCTGGACAGAGTGACTATTCCCACGTGCTGCTTGGGGGCCTGCGTACCTGCTCCTTTGGTGGCTTGTGAAGCCCTACATGAGGCAGCTGGATGCCAGGAAGGGTCTCTTAAAAACATCAGCTAAACAGCTGATAGGGGAGTAGGTGGGGGGAGTGTCTGAGCACCTTACAGAGTAGTGGAGAGCACTGGAGGTCCCCCCGGGTGCTAGCAAATGGCATGTGCTATCAGGGCACTCTCATGAGGGAAGTCCTAGTGAGCTTCAGTTAACAGCGCTAGGCAGGAGGAGGGGAACTGTTGTGTAAAGCCAACGTAAGTACAGAGAGAAAAATTTGTTTACTTGATTTTAAACCCAAATAAAATGTTATTAATATTTGACACTGCCCTGTCACTGTCAAACTGGCCACATAGTTTCCACTGTACCTGAGTCTCCTGAGTGCTGTAGTACCTTGCCTTCCAGACCCAAGCTGGCTCTCCTGCACCTGGCAAACCTTGCCAAGCAAGATGTGCTTCCCTTTCCCTTTCACCGAATCCCAGAAAAAATACTGCCTGAATGGCCTAGACACAAAACTCTCCAAAGCACTAGATGACCCAGAGCCTGGCACAACCACCTTGCTAACGCTGAGTCCTTTACCCCTAAAGTAGCCTTCTACCATTATCTTCCCACCGACTCTATCCTCCATGATAGATGGAGATCACAATAGAGAGCCTGTGCTATTGTCACCTCCAAGGCTCCGTGGCAGGCTAGCTGCTAGCCAACCCTGCTGCTGGCAACCCCTGCAAGTCATCTAATCAGCCTCTTCCTTCTGCCCCAGTCCCAGCCACTGCTCGCTGCCCCTTAAATCCAATCTTACTTGTTTGGTATAAGCCATAAGATGACAGACAGCTCTAGCCACTACTTATGAGGGCTTGGACTGGTGTCCTATGAGAAGTCCTCTGCCCTTTACTATAGCCTAGCCTAGCAGGCAATGGAGGTGCAAAAGGGGAATCTCATTTTACCAGACCAGTTTAATGAGAGGGTGCTCATACTCGGTTGCTCATGTGGGCTGAGCTGTACATGTAGACAGGTTTCAACCTCATCCTGAGTCCCTTGCACATATGCGTGCACACGTGCATGCGCACTCACACACACACCCCCTAAGACAATCAAGATGCTCCATGGACCTCAGGAAACAGAAGGAGTCAATACTGGGCCATATCTTGAGTGACCAAACAGGTGCTCTGGGGGTCTGATATTACTGGGCCTCAGGCTTCTTTAAAGTTCTGGTTCTCACCAGGATCCATAGAGATCATCCCGTGTATGCCTGGTGTGAATCAGCAGCATTTTAAGTTGTTGCATTTACAGAGAGAACAAAGTTCCATTAATGTGAGGACTGATCCTTGCTTGGCTTTTCCAGTTCATTATGATGGCTCTGGATAGTCTTGATGTCTAGAAAATGGCCCATCCCTTGTTGAATTTCTTCCTCCTCCATTGCCTCTTGCCCTTTCAGCTGTTTCACTTGCTCCCTGCCAGATCCCAGGTGGATGAGATGCTGGTGTGAGCAGACCTGCTGCAGTTTGGAGATCTTCCCCACAGAATCCTGATGCCTACTTCCACCCTGCCCCATGCCCCACTAGCAGCTTAGCATCTGGTGTACCTCACACTCCCCTTTGCAAGTCAGGGAGAGAAAGCTAAGCTGGGAAGAACCCCCTAGTTTTGCAATTTCCCTTGCCCCTTCCTTGCACCCTCCTCCTGCCAAAGAAACTGCACACAGCACAGGGGATCACAGGAAAATACTCACAATTTATTACTCAAACAAGTCCCCTGGTGTGAGCAGCTCAGGACTCTCCCAGACACGCAGTGATCTCTTTAAATAACTACACTGTTTTCTCTCCCCACCCCAGCCCTCTCCTGATGCCCAACTATACCCCAGCCAAAATGAATGAGATTGACAGTTTGATGTTCAAGGACACATATCGTCAGAGAGGGGGGGAGCTTCCTTTTGGAACTGCTCTTCTTCCTCCTAGCACTGTCAGATCAAATCAGTAGCCACAAGTTTCTGGTTCCTATATCCACCCCAGACCATGGCCTCCAGACACGTTCTGTGCTCAGTTCAGAATCCCAAGGAAGCAGCAGGAACACACTATACACGGCCAACGTGGACCCGCACCAACACACACACAGCTACATTGTACAGACATTAAATCCAGGGTACTGCTTGTTTACACAGTAGAATGATGCTAAATCCAGTATCCTTGTTCAGGAATTATTTAGACGGTGAGACCAGAGCCTGGTTTCAGTGACACTTGTGTAAAACTATAACTTTGCCATTCCTGGCAGTTGATTTATTCCAGATATACCCAAGTTTCCCCTTGTTGTCTCATTGCAGCACAATCCTGGCAGACAGATGTTTTACAAGTTTAACAGCCCAGGAGGGAGGGCAGAGACACAATTGCTTGCTCTGAACCTGGGATGTGCTTGGGAAAGACTGATTAGTTCTGAAAACATTTGGCTTGGTCCCGCTGACAAAGCACTTGTGGAATGGCCAATGAAATATGATTTTAGTGGCTGGTATTTCAAGTTTGAAACTGATGCTTTGTCCCTTTTGCAGTCTGTGATTCTAGGTGCCCCCCTCTAACAATGGCAGGAAATATCACATTGTAGATCAGGTAGTTCTTGAAATGGCAGCTACCAAAAATCGCAATGGAAATTAAGAAGGGTAGGGTGGGGGAGGTAGGCAAAATGGTAATTGAATGGTACGATTGTAAAAGACTGGGTACAATGATCTTTCCCAGATAGAAAGAAGTGCTTTATACCTCTAGAAACCTGAGAGCCCGGATTGGTTAACAGCATGGGGTGTATGGCTGTGAGACATTAATGTATAAAATCCATGTTGAGCCTTCAGGGGTTGCTCAGTGGGTCTGTATTTTTTAAATACTTATCCAATCCTGAATATAATCAGCACTTTGGACCAGTGACATGTTTATAACCAGAGTGAGATTTGTGGGTATATGCAATCATTTTATAAATGACTGAAATTGCCAGGTAGAAGGAGCTGGAGAATGACAGAGGGTTGTTATCTCTGTGTAGCACAATGGATGTTTGGTGCCTATGGAAGTATTTCATTCTTTGGGTTTTATATTCCTTGGCCAGTTCAACAGAGGCACCTGTAGCATTGATGACCGTGACCTGCTGTAGCGCTGAGATTCATCCTGATCCAACAGCAGCACAGCTGAACACTTCAAGGCTCAATTCCTGCAAGGCAGGAGCTGCCCAGAACCAGGCCAGGAAGCATCACCCCGGAAAAACCAGGCAGGAAAAAGAATTTTAGGATGAGTTACCAAGTTAATGACATGGGATAGATACACTTACCGCACAGCCCCTAACTGCATGTGGGAACCTGGAGAATCACCAAAAACTCAGATTAGCAGGGCCAGGACAGGCAGCCATAGGCTACCTGCCCTTAGGACTGGTAGAAGGTGGAAAGCCAGAAATATGGTACTGTTCGACCTTGGGGGATGGGGGACAAAACCAGCATGGGCTTTTGAAATCTGAACATCTTAGCAGTGCAGCAGGGAGGGGGTGGGCTCCCTATGGGGTAGCTGGCAGCCTTGTCAAAGGGAATACTCACTGATGAGAAGCTGGGGTGCCCAGAGGGAGAAATGGCAAGGGAGGGGAAGGCCTAACTCCAGGCTAACTCATTCCCCACTCTATTATTCATTAAAGACAGAGATTCTTTGCAGGATTGTCCCACGACTAGGGCTGTTCTCCTGGTGTCTCTACACACCCAGTACTGGAAACAAGGCCAGTGGCAGTGAGTTCTGCTTGGTTCTTAGTGCTCATTTCTGTTTAGCCAGGTATCCCACAACCGTTTGTCATGCTCATCAGCTTGGTCCTGGCTGCCAGGTGAATGGTGGGGAAAAGCCAGAAGCTGCTCTGTAGGAGCTCAGTATGAGCTCCCTTGCAGACCGGGAAGCTGTGCATCGTCTTGTCAGCTGGGCCCTGGTCTGTGCTCTGTGTTTGGGCAGTGTCCTACCTACTGGGGCCCTGCTCCATATCTGGGGCTCTCAGGCCTTCTCACACTGCAAACACATGCTAAGGGGCAAGCAGGTCATCAGGTTTCTCTGCACCAGAGCTCCCTCCTGTGCCTGTTGCACCCTACCAGCCCTGAGCCCCACCTCATGCTCTGCAGTGAGATCACAGCCCAACAGCTTCTCCTCTGGGAGCCAGGCAGGAGGACTGGGTGCGGCGGGAGATCCTGTGCCTTTGATGGAAAGCAGGTATTCAGTCCCTGCCCAGACTTCGGTACCACCTGGTGCCACCTGCAGATCAGCCAGGGCAAGCTTGCTCCACACGGGATGGGAACAGGTGAGCGAGGTGAGCCCTGTGTAATACATCAACTGTTCTGCAGAGGGCAGCATGTGGCCAGGTCCTGGAAGCCTGTGTTTAGGAAGCACAGTCCTCGGCTCTGAGCTCATGGATGTTATGCTGACCCAGTTGCCTACCTCTGAAGTCAGGTCACCCTCCCTCCACTCAGAGTTCACTACAGTATTGGTCAGTGCCTCTGCCATGCACTGCAGAGCCCAGCGGTCCCTTCCTCTTGTTCCTGCCTTCACTGGTTACAGAGCAAATGCTGTGGCTACAGAGCAGAGTCTGCTTCTCAGGGCCAGCAGTGAAGGAAGTAGGTTTGCACAGTGTTCCCCTTGCCTGGACTCTAACAGGAACCCAGGAGGGTTGGGAGTCTGTGCCAGGCCTGGGACAGAAGTGGGGAGGGGGTATGGCTGAGGCCACCTCACCAACAAGCTCGGTGCACTGGCACCGGTGGTCTGCCCAGACTGGTTGGCTGGCTGTTGGGAGACTGAGGTGACACTGCCAAGCTTTATCCCCTTAAGCTAGAAAACTGCAAAAAATGGAGTCCAGGGCAGGGCATTTATCTAACCCCCTTCCCCCCCCCCCCACATACACGCACACACATGGCAAGGGTTACAGTGGGTCCCTGGATCAGTGGGACCATGCCCAAGAACGGTCCCCGACTCCTGCTTCTTAGAGAAGGGCTTCTCCATTGGGACACAGAGTGGAGCCCGCACTGTGTTCCCCTCTCTGGACCATTTCCCCAAATCTTGTCAAGAGGCCTGAAGAAGGATACTGGATCATGAGAGAAAGAACAAAGAAATTGCTCCCAAAATGTCACAGTGGACAGTGCCCTCACATAAAAATAGCTACTCCCCTGCTCCTCTCAGCAATTCCTAGGGCAAGGCTGCCTCTGAGCTGCTTGACTGTGCAGGTGTGAAGACAAGAAAATATCCCCCAGAACAAAAGCCCTTGGTCCCTTTGTTTGTTCCCTTAAACACCACAGAAGAAATGGTTCCCTGCAGGGATTTGTCCCAGCTGCACCAGACTTGAGGGGCTTATTCCCCTTTGGCTGCTCCATGTCCCTCCTCTGCTCCCCTCTTCCAAGGAACACAAGATGTTCTTGCTGCATAGCACCAAGGAAAACCCAGCAAACTCCAGGCCACACCAGTAAAGCTTGGTTGATGCTCGGCAGTCTCCTCTTTCCCTGCTGGTCAGAAATGCGCCCATGGGAAGTGTTAAGATGTGTCCTTCAGCTCTGGGCTTTGGGGCTGCTGAGGGGGCACCTCTGTGGTTGGGGACTGCATTTCTTGGGATCTGTCTGTGAAGAAAGCGGGAGGGATAAATGCAGTGAACAAGCCTGCAGGTTGGGCACCTTGCTGAAGAGATGGTACAGCACAACCTTCCTTATTCCCAGCGCCCAATTCCTGGGCAGCCCAACACCTTAGGTTTCCAGCTCCTGGGTAGCCCCACTGCTGCAGCCCCCACTGTCTCCAGAGCCCCTGCCTACAGATATCCTCATTACCCCAGCAATTTCCCTGCCACAGCCCTTAATCCCTAAGCAGCCCATCCTTATGCCCTGCCTCAAAGGGCCCATTTCCTGGGCTTATTCAGTCCCTGGTGTCTTGGCACAGGTAGCCAACAATACCAAATGTGCTGTTCCTCAAGCAGCCATACCTTTGCAATCCCCACACAGAAAGAATTAGCCAGTAGGGCAAGAAGGCTGAACACTAGACTGGGGGAGAACGGCTCTAGGAAACAGTTTGTGTTATCCTGTAGGAAACCCACAAGCCATAGTCACTACTCCAACTGGCAGCTCACTGCACCAGGGACTCGTGCTCTGTGTTTCTACAGTGCCCAGCACCACAGGTGTTGGTCCAGGACTGAAGCTGCTGATTGACAGGATACAAAAACAATAATTGCAGAGGTGCCTATTGGAATACATAGCAACTCTCTTCACAGAGAGGGGATGCCACTTGATTGTAAGCCAGCAGACTCAATCCCTTGCTCCAACCACTGTGCCGGGTTCCTGAGACACCATGACACCTGCTCCATCTCCTCTGTTTCTGGTGGCTCCATAAGCAAGGGTCCTCAGGACTGCACTTCCCAACCCCCAGCAGTGCCTGGCCCAGGGCCTGGTACATACCTGCATTTAGAGACATTTCTGCTAGTTTGAGAGGGAGGTCAGAAGGGCTGACACCGGCCGGTGAGCCCAGGATGTCAGGCAGGGCGTTCCTTCGGCCAGTCCTCCCAGAGGATGCAAAGTCCAACACGGGCTCCACCTCAGTCATGCTTTCCCTAGAGCAAGATGGCACATCCAGATCAGGCTGGCACCTCCCCCTGCTCTTACACACAGATTCCCTGGCAGAATCTCTGACCCAGGAAGGTGCTGCGCCCTCAGGCAGGCGGCAAACACTGGTCTCTAATTCTGGAGCTGTGGTTAGTTATTCTGCCCCTGCACAATGCCTACAGGTGCCCTAATACATCAATGCTCTCCCCACCAGCACACGAGCTTGCAGGCACATGCAAGTGCATGATGAATACTGCCTGGTAGTAACGCACATGGAAGAGACAGCTTCTAACCCAGGTTGGGAAAAAAAACTGCATCAGCCTCTCCACACTCCTGCCCGGCCTTGGCCCACCCATCTATAAAAGGCATCTCAGTAGGCCCCAAAGGGTTGTAGCAGGAGAGCACAGACCTGCCAGGTTGGGGCAGCAGCAGCAGCATTCGCCCCCAGCCAGGGGTTGAATCAGGGATAGAAGCAGGTATTTCTAGCCATCAGCTAAAGAACCAGGCTCTGTGGCTGGGGTTGTAGTGGACTCAGACCCTCTGGACCATGGGCACTGAGGGGAACTCTTTAACACATGCTGAGCCATGCCTAACTTGGGTGTTGGACTGCTTGGACAGGAGACTGCCTGGTGACATTGGACCTCAGAGTCATGAGCTGTGGTCACTCAGTTCCCACTATTAACCCACTGAGAAGTGGAGATCTGGGCATGCACAGGTGGCAGTGAAGATGACCCTACCCTTGCCTCCAACTGTTCTGGTCTATGAGGGGTCAAGCAGACTCATCTGGCCTTGAACTTTGTCATTCATGTCAGGCTGGACTTAAGTAACTTGTGAACAGATACTGTGGCATGCATGTCTGGCAGGACAGGGGGTTGTGGCAGGGCTCCTGGGTACTTCAGGAGCATGCAGGCAACAGCTGGCTGCATAGCAACCCACTGATCTGCATTGTTGAAGAAGGCAATGGGTAGGGGGTCCCCACTGAACCAGGCTCTGAGCCTGACAGGTCTGCTCACGGCCTCTACCTGAGCCTTCCTGCCAAGACCAGCCTGGAGCTTGCAGCACAGGAAGTCCAGAACCAGGGCAGTGCACGTCCTAGCTCACCTGCTGCACGACACTGGAGGCACAGGAGGAGCAGCCTTACCTGTGGCCTTCCGGAGTGGGCTGGCTCTCCTTCTCCAGGCTCCCAAGGGTGGGGTCCCCCCCTCCAGACGTCTTTCAGGCTGTGGAGTTACTTCCCCAAGAGAATCTGGTACTCAGGCCTGGGTCTGTTCCCAGCACGGTTATCCTTTGCCCACAGAGCGATGCAGCAGCTGCTTGTGCAAAGAGACAGTAAGAGACCTCGGAGCAGTCACAGGGACACCCATGCACCACAGAGCGACAGCTGCCAGCCACGGCTGCTGCAGAGCCAGCTCTGCCAAGCCCTCCACACACAGCCCCAGCTCCACCTCTCTCCACACCCCTGTTTCAAATCACCGAGTTCTTCTTACCCTGACTTCACTAACCCCTCTCCTCTCCAGCCCAGCTGAATGTGCCCTAGAAAAGGCTGAGTGGGGGGTGCTTTCTACTACACTGGAAAGAAAGGGGACTTGCTTCAGCTGGTGTGTTCCTCTCAGCACTTCTAGTCCACTGCATGGACAATGCAGTGCCTCTATCAGGCCCTGCTGAGGAAACTGTCCCACAGCGAGAGGGCGTCTCATAGCAATGAGCCCGGCTGTGAGTGAATACACAATCATTTAGGTTGAGGAGTCAAAGGCAGCCAAATGCAATGATAACCCTGTCACCTCCCTGGGCAGTGCTGGCTGAAGGAAGCAGTGTGCCCTCGCTGAAGAGAGCCATGCAGGCCGAGGCAGACCTAGGACTTAGTCACAGGCAGTACAGGATCCTGGGACAATTCCTGCTGCATCGTCTGAACTTTTTGGCAAGCACAGAGCTGCAGCAACAGGCGCTATCAAGAGAGGGTCCATTTCTGTCTCTGGCAACTAGAAACTGTCCTGGTCAAGCCTGACATGACAGATTCGTGCATGAACACTGAGTGAGTAAAAAAAGCCACCAATGCTTCAGCAGGACACTGGTTTGTTCCTGGTGTTGCTGGTGCTAATTGCAAATGCAGAAGAGGGGCTGTGAGAGCTTTTTAGGGCTATGTGTGTGTGTACAGCACCTAATACAGAAATAGGGCCCCATCCCTGCTTGGGCCTCTAAATACCCCAGCATGGACCACTTTGCACCCCTACTTACTGGGTTAATCTCTGCCTCTGCCCCTGCCCCTGCCCCTGCAAGCCAAACAACCAGCAGAAGCTCAGCAAATCCAAAAGGAGAAGGGGGAAGAGCTCTGCTTCTAGGGTCCAGTCCTCCAAGATGCTGAGCTCCTTTGTCACTAATAGCAGACAGGACCTTGCAAGATGAAGCCCTGACTGAGCCAGTGACTCCAAGAGCCTGAGAGAGCAGACTGACAGCAAGGGACAGAGTGATGGCTGGGACACACAGACAGACAACTGGAGGTGACACTGTGGCAGGCAGGACAGAGAGCAGTGGAAAGTAACCAGGGAGCCAGGGCAGGGACTCTGCAGCAGGCACTTCTTGCCTTTGATAGCACAGAACCAACACCCTTTTAAATCAGGGACACAAAATGCCCACAGGTTTGAGACTCCTATGATGGAAAGTGTTGGAGGTGAGACTGACCAATGCAAAGAGACAGACAGGCAGACACACACCCTGCCCTGCTGGAAGCAGAGCTGTCCAATCAATGTGCTTTCGCCCAAAATGTCCCTTTCAGTAATGTGCCAAAAGTCGCCCTTTGGCACTTGATAGAAAGTCGAACAGAAGCAGGCTGCTCATTTGCTGGGAGTGCTCACAGGGTGCCGGGCGCTGCCCTGCTCCCCACACCGACACTGGAAATAGTAACATCAGCTTGGCCGCACGTCATTGCTAATCCTCCCCACGGCAAGTGCTCACGCTGATCGGGGTTGATGGAAAGTTGAGTGAGTGATTTTGGGGGTGGAGGGGAAGATCAGTATGATGGCACCCAATATCAAAAGCAAAAGCAGTAACACTGCTAATCTCAAGAGCACGAGTCACCACAAAACCAGCGGTCTGCCAGTTGCTGTCCTTTTCCTGCCCAAGACCAGGAGGGCACTGATCATTTCCCTTCCCACTGTGATTGCAGTCTCTGACTGTGGGGCAATGTCAGTGTAACCTTCTGCACCTTGGGGTATGCCAAAGGGGAATGGCAAAGCAGAGCTGGCCTGCACGGTGGCTCCTGGAAACAGTGTAAGGAGCCAGCCTTTGTCCAGATGACAAACTCAGGCAAAAATGGCTGCTCACAGGAATGTTTCAGTGCCACTCAGAGCATCCAGAGGTGCCCATGTACAACAGCAAAGACATCCTGGATACTGCCAGCACTTTCCCTCTGAGGATCCCAAAGCCCCCCAAACTCAGCAGCCTGAATGAAAAGCTCTTGTACCATTCTAAGGAATAAAAGGTGAATGCAGCAAGACCCCAACCCTAGGTCAGGCTGAGACAGCAGCAGACCACAAGGTACAAAATGACTGTTAGTCTCACAGCCTTGGATCCATCAGGTGTTCACTGCTGGGAAGCTGACTGATCCAGCACTGATCACTGGACCTCAAGAATGAATGACAGCTTACGACCACTCCTCCAGCGGCTGCTTCTTCTCAGGAGCCCTATCTTGCACACCCAGGTTCATGGCTGGGGAGTAGCATTGAGACTTGTTGTTAGCAGTTCACCACCTGTAGCCTAAGTCAGTGATTCTCACCCTAGGTGCCAGGGAAATCTGGGATGCCACCAGATCCTTTAAAGGGTGCCACGAGGTATGAGGAGATAAGCAAGGTGTGAAGGGATAAGCACATAAGCTAAGTAGATAAACACAGGCTAAGGCTTGTCCTTGTACCTGCCATCCCCAACTACCCAGCCCTGCTGCAAGGGGGCAAGCACTGTAATATATAAATTCCTTTCTAAACTCGGGTACCACTCCATTCACAAAAGTTACAGTGATGTGCCTTCGAACCACTGTTCAAAGTGTTCAAGGAACAGCACACCAAGCTTCCCCAGCCACCAACCTCTCCAGATATGTAATAAATGATATAATTAGAGCCACCACTAGAAGGCACTTGACTGCCAAATTCCCTTGGGTACCCCAGTGTGGATCTGAAGCACTTCTATTGAAGACAAAGGAATACTGCAGATTTACATACCAGTAACTGAAATCATTGTTTGGTCCTCTGTGGGTATGTAACATCTTTACTCTCCCCACCTTTTAATCTCAGGACCTGACCCCTTACAGAAAGGATGTGAAACAGAGCAAGTCATCAGGTTCTCTTGAAAACCGCACTCAGCAAGGGCAGTCACCGTGTGTGGTGGAGCTACCAGACAGGCCCTTTGAAGGTCACAGACACCTGGGCATAAATTAGAGCAGTCCTGAGGCTGCTCTGAATTGTCTCCAGGACTAAACTTTTCTTCATTCAGCTCCTCCCTTTCCTCCTGACTGGGTCCATCCCTGAGCAAGGACCCTCTCCTAGGAGTGTGCTGGCTCTAGGAGGGTAATGGGGACAAAACACCATGTGTACTAACATCAGCCCCTGAAGTTATCAATACTGCCCTCTTTATGTGGGGCAAGGGGAAGGAAGGGGGCTGCTCTGTGTGAGAAGCACCCTGGAGCTGCCAAGGGCCCTTCTTTGTTCCCTTTACAAACCATTTCAGCGGAAGGAGCTAAGCAGACAGGTGGCTTATTTGGATCACACCCAGGAGTCACAAAGGAACTGGAGAGGGACCTTCCCCAGACTGCCAACCCCAAAGGGACTTCATGAGGTCCCTTTTAACCCTGCTTTCCTATGATCCTAGGGCTTTAAAAGCAGAACAGTGGAGTAACATCAGGAGACTGACAAAATAATAAATGCGAGGTCATTTCTCTTTGCCCCCAGCTTCAGAGCCTTTAGGTCCATTCCCAAGTTCCTTCTGCCTACCAGGAAGGTTAGGAACTAGATTTCTTTCTCCAGCTGAAAACTGAACTTCTCACACAGTCTTATGATCCCAGAAGCTGGGGCCTTAAGAAATAAAGGCAATAGCAAGATACTCACAGTAGAATCACAAGAGCGGGCAGCATCACTTTCATCTGCCCTCACAGGCCTTTGGGATGCTCTACAGCACCATAACCAAACTGTGTTGTAGTACTCCTGCCTTTGCTTTACTTGCAGGGCCCTTGTGGCAGCTCCCTCAATAAAGCCATATTTCTCCAGGAGAAGGAGTCCTCTTGCATTCTCATCCTCCGTGGCCCCGAGTGACAACTGCTCTGACACATCATATGCGTGAGTGCAATGGAAACAAAGATAATACTCTGCCAGCCCCTGCTCCAGCCACCTCCATGCCTCTTTCTTTTCCTCCAGCCAAACAGTACTCACTGGCAATCAGCCCCTGGGGGAAAGGGAGCTGGAGCCAGTCCCACCATCTCCTTTGCAGTGCTGGGAGCAGAAGCTCACTTCATGGGGATACAGGGCTTTGTTGGTGCCATGCTGGTAATTACCCAGGTGTAGCATGAAGTAAAATGTGTCCTATTAGAGCAGAACAGATGGTTAAATAGATGAAGGTGGCAAGCTCATTAATTTCCCATCCGTATCCCTGCTGCTCCAGCTGCTGCTGGCTCCATGATTCGCAGTGAGATGAATACCTGACACACTAAGGTTTGATCAGTCATTGCCAGCCAGGGTGAGCAGTCCTGCCTACCTACACTCACACATGCAATCATGCCCTAGCACACTGTTGCTTAATCTTAGGCTGCGGGGTTATTTGTGGGGCCTGTGCAGAGCGCACAGTCTAGCTGGGGTGCCCAGAAGCTTGAGGTCATTGCCACTGATTTAAAATAGGGCATTGCATCCTTGTTCCTGCCTCCTCCCAGAGCCATGCTCACTGCTCTGCTGGGAATAGGGAACTGGATGAGCAGTTTGTGTCGAGTATTGGCAGTGGCAGCAGGACTCAGGGAAAGCTGATGGTTGTTGTGGAAGCTGACAGTTTAACCAGATTCAAAAAGGGATTGGACATATTGGAGGAAAGGGGCATCAGTAGCTATTGAGCCTTGAAGTTAGGGGTACAGCCTCTGAATCAGAACTTCTTAGACCTTAAATGCTGGAGGCTGAAAGTGAGAGAGGAAAAGTGAAAAAAACTCTGGCTATACCATGTTCGAGCTCCATTTCAGCATTCAGTTTCTGCTGCTGTGCAACACAGGATACTGGGCAAGATGGACCTATGGACCGCTGTTATGATATTTGAGGGCAAAGCTAATAAAGGTGTTAATTAGTAG